TGTATGTATGTATGTATGTATGTATGTATGTATGTATGTATGTATGTATGTATGTATGTATGTATGTATGTATGTATGTATGTATGTATGTATGTATGTATGTATGTATGTATGTAGTATGTATGTATGTATGTATGTATGTATGTATGTATGTATGTATGTATGTATGTATGTATGTATGTATGTATGTATGTATGTATGTATGTATGTATGTATGTATGTATGTATGTATGTATGTATGTATGTATGTATGTATGTATGTATGTATGTATGTATGTATGTATGTATGTAGGTATGTATGTATGTATGTATGTATGTATGTATGTATGTATGTATGTATGTATGTATGTATGTATTTATGTATGTATGTATGTATGTATGTATGTATGTATGTATGTATGTATGTATGTATGTATGTATGTATGTATGTATGTATGTATGTATGTATGTATGTATGTATGTAAGTGCACGTCGGGAACAGCTGACGAGAGATCGAGTTTTCTTTAGGCAGACCGTAACGAGAGCGACGTTCGGCAAAGGATCTACTAAATGGTGATCTCTTTTATAGAGGCAATGTGACTAATACAGTATAGAAGAAAAAGGATAAATAAAAACGCATCGAAAACGGATATTTCAGTATTCAGTATTGTTTAATTTAAAAAAAAAAAAAAAAAAAACTAACTTACGACATACTGAATCTGATGATTGAAATCTTGAATTTTTAAATAGCTTACACATTTGCGATTGCGTTTTCGCTAATGCCAACATCACGTCATTTTCAAAATGTTATTTGTGTGTGTGTGTGTGTGTGTGTGTGTGTGTGTGTGTATGGGTGTGTGTGTGTGGGTGGGTGGGTGTGGGTGGGTGCGTGGGTGTGTGTGTTTGTGTGTGTGTGTTTAGCTTTTTAATTAAAAGACGTGTGGAAAATCCACCCTCTCAGAAATCTACAGAAACAAAGGGGAGCAAACTTCGACAGAAGGAAATAATGCGTTGTTTTGGGTGGGTGTCAGAATCCTGGAAGCGGGAGTATAGATTGGTGTCGACAGGCAACTTATTTTATTTTGCAGAACTGGCTGTCGTCGAAAAAAAACTATTGCAACCCACAAGAAACAAGACTAGTTAGTAGTAGTAGATTTTTACCCCACCAGGACATCACACAAGCAATAAAAACCCGATGACACAAAGTGCCACCATGGGGATGAGGATCACCCGTAGAGGGGTACCAGAAACCACGTTTAGCCATTAGATCATATTTATGGTCGGGCTATATTGACGCCCCTGGCGAGAGCCAGGGTGGGGCGTCAAAACAGAGAAAAATTACATCTCACAAGGAGATGACAGGATGATTAACAAAGAAACAAGACTATGCGTTAAGCGTGTATGTATCACTAAGAATCGACCAAGCCGAGCAGCGTCTGTAGCCCGCCAACAAATCTCGGCAAGTCGCAGTGCCATGATAATTAATCCATTTTCGTCCTTTCTAGGATGAAATTTTTTGTTATTTGAAGCCCCACCCTGGCTTTTGCCAGGGGCCGCAATATAGGCATTCCATAAATAAGGCCAATTGTCTGAACGCGGTTTCTGTGACCTCTTCACAGCGATCCTCGTCCACATGGTGGCACTTTGTGTCATCTGGTGTTCATCGATTGTGTGATGTCCTAGTGGGGTAGAATGTCAGTCAGTCAGTGACATGATTTCCCCTCCTTTTTTAAAATTATCGAAGCTTACCACTGTCTGGCGACCTTAGAGAACACACATCGACACCCCTTTTGGGGTCACGACCCCTTAGGTTAGGAACCTGTGCCGTAATATCTACAAAAATAAAAATGGCCGCCTAACGGAAACAACTACTCATCCAACAAGTGCATGATGATGACAATGATGATGATGATGATGATGATGTATGCTGAAGGGAAAAAAATGTGTTTGAAATCAAAACAAGCATTTATAGAAAGATATTTCAAATAGATGACAGCCTGAAAAGTCGATGGTTAAGCACCAGCAAGGAGATCAAAACTTGAATTTTGATAGCATGCATTTTCCCTGTAGCAACATACAGATGTGAGTCGTGGACTATCTCCCAGTCCTTAAGAAAGAGATTAGGGGATTTTGAGCTGAAATGCTATAGAAAGATTCTTAGAATATCTTGGGTGAAAAATAGGAGAAATACTGACATCTTAAAAGATCTGAACAACAAGGAAGATTGGCTAATAAACAACATCCTGTCTCGGAAGCTGACATATTTTAGTCATATCAAGCGCCACGACGCATTGGAAAAAATAAAGCAGAAGGCATGGTACCAGGAAGGAGGGGCAGGGGCCTACCAACACGAAGATGGGCACAGGATATACGTAACTCCTTGAGTATGAAAGTACATGAGTTGGGAGAGGTGGCGAGAGACCGAGTTTCTTTCAGGCAGACCGTGATGAGAGCGACCGTTCTGCGAATGACCTGCTACATGATGATGACTCGTCTTTATGCGGCTACGGTTAGAGGGATT